AATCAGATAACTGCTGCAGCATACGGGCGCCTGGCAAACCTACGGATAGCGTTCCGATACCTCAGTAAGGATCGTTCAAGATTCTGTATACCATTTACGTCAGGCCCATACTGGAGTATGCAGCACCAGTTTGGAATCCGCACCTAGTCAAGCACGTCAAGAAATTAGAGAAAGTTCAAAGGTTTGCAACAAGACTAGTCCCAGAGCTACGGGGATTGTCCTACGAAGAAAGGTTGAGGGAAATTGGCCTGACGACACTGGAGGCCAGGAGAGTCAGGGGAGACATGATAACGACATACAAAATACTGCGCGGAGTAGACAAGGTGGACAAAGACAGGATGTTCCAGAGATGGGACACAGACACAAGAGGTCACAATTGGAAGTTGAAGACTCAGATAAATCAAAGGGATGTTAGGAAGTATTTCTTCAGTCATAGAGTAGTCAAGCCGTGGAATAGCCTAGAAAGTGAAGTAGTGGAGGCGGGAACCATACATAGTTTTAAGGCGAGGTATGATAAAGCTCATGGAGCAGAGAGAGAGAGGACCTAGTAGCAATCAGTGAAGAGGCGGGGCCAGGAGCTGTGACTCGACCCCTGCAACCACAAATAGGTGAGTACACACACACACACACACACACACTCAGGAAGTGGTGACAGCGTATCATGGTATGTCATGGGAGGTATGCTTGATATACTCGGCGTGAGAGCTGGCCGCCCAGAATTGTACGCTTTTACACACTGTGTTTATGGAGCGGATCGGAGGTGTATTACCGGCCAATCAGACTACCATGATGCCGGTGGATTTGTATTTCTCGCTGATTTGGCCTCACTGATTTGTACTCATCGATTCCTGGTCACCCATTCGTACTCGCCGAGTTCCTTTCACTGGTTTGGGGTCTCAGTTCTCAAAAGGAAGAGTCGAGCAAGGGCTGTCAGTTGCTGAACTGTGTTCCTGATGTCTGTCACTGGGAAATTTTTTGAGGCAATAATCTCAAATAACCTTACTCTCAACAATTTTTTTCCACCTGCTACTGCGTGTTAGTCAGTATGGTAGAATTGTAGAACGATGGTTCAGAGAACCGACACGTTGATAAATTAGACACATGTGCAACTCTTGGGTATCTTATTGAGGAAACGTTTCGCCACACAGTGGCTTCATCAGTCCATACATAGGAGAATCTTGAAGAACAGGAGGAGAATGAGGTAATCAGTCTCTCAGCCTTGAGTCGATGTGGTCAGTCCATCAGTCTTGAATAGAATACGGCATAAGTGCGGAGAAGGAGCTTATAAACCGTAGGCAGGAGAGGTGCAGCAGTCGTAGGTGGTGTCACGTTTGTTCAGTGTGGAAGTAGGTCGTGCCCAAGGGTTAGGCAAGCGAAGAATTCCCAAGTATTAAGATCCCAAGAAGTTGCAGTGTCTGACAGTTTGTCAGTATGGTTTTAGAAAGTGTTGCTGAATGTTTTGGAAGATATTACTGAATCTCTAAACTATGTGGCACTACTAAATGGATGAACCTCTCCTCTATGTGGCACCAGTCACTGTAAGAACCTCGCCACTATGTGGCACCAGCCACTATAAGAACCTCCCCACTATGTGGCACCAGTCACTGTAAGAACCTCCCCATTACGTGGCACCAGTTACTGTAAGAACCTCCCCACTATGTGGCACCAGTTACTGTAAGAACCTCTCCACTATGTGGCACCAGTCACTGTAAAAACCTCGCCACCATGTGGCACCAGTCACTGTAAGAATCTCGCCACTATGTGGCACCAGTTACTGTAAGAACCTCCTCATTATGTGGCACCAGTCACCGTAAGAACCTCGCCACTAAGTGACACCAGTTACTGTAAGAACCTCCTCATTATGTGGCACCAGTTACTGTAAGAACCTCCCCACTATGTGGTACCGGTCACAAAGTTGCTTCGTACAATATATGTGCATGTAAGCAGGGTAGGACACCCCCGCTCTCTTGGCAAGACCATAAGCACAAAAACTCAACTTATACCTACACCTTCCAAGGGATTACCTTCAAGGTCGTTCTCTAAGGGCGGAGGATGGTCTGTGATCCACTCATGCGATATCATTGAATTAAGAAGAAAGTAAACCATACCAAGGGTGGGGTTTGAACCCGCGGTCAGAGAGTCTCAAAACTCCAAACCGCGTTAACCACTGGGCCAACTAGCCACAATAAGTTTCATCCAACTAGGTATATTTCTACACCATAGAAAGGTTAGCATAGGTACCACTGTGACCACAAATGCAGTGGCTAACGCGACGGTCTGGAGTTTTGAGACTCTCTGACCGCGGGTTCAAACCCCACCCGTGGTATGGTTTGTTTGCAATCGTGTCATTACAATTTCGTGAGTCAAGAAGAAAGTATGTTTGATCCCATACTAAGAATGCACACTTCACAATCCCACTTCACTTGGTTCCCGAAGCCTCGTGTCACCACAGATAATTTCACTCTAAAATATGCTTGTACAGTAGAGACACCCACTCACCTCACGCACATTAATGCTTATCTTATAGCTATATTTGCCTAGGGCTACCGATGGCGGGCTGGATTTCCTTCTTATAGAACACAAATGATGTTCTCTAGACAGCATGATGTCAGTACGAGAGTTGGCATGATGACAGAAATGATGTTCTCTACACAGCATGATGTCAGTACGAGAGTTGGCATGATGACAGAAATGATGTTCTCTACACAGCATGATGTCAGTACGAGAGTTGGCATGATGACAGAAATGATGTTCTCTACACAGCATGATGTCAGTACGAGAGTTGGCATGATGACAGAAATGATGTTCTCTACACAGCATGATGTCAGTACGAGAGTTGGCATGATGACAGAAATGATGTTCTCTACACAGCATGATGTCAGTACGAGAGTTGGCATGATGACAGAAATGATGTTCTCTACACAGCATGATGTCAGTACGAGAGTTGGCATGATGACAGAAATGATGTTCTCTACACAGCATGATGTCAGTACAACAGTTGGCATGATGACAGAAATGATGTTCTCTACACAGCATGATGTCAGTACGAGAGTTGGCATGATGACAGAAATGATGTTCTCTACACAGCATGATGTCAGTACAACAGTTGGCATAATGACAGAAGGAAGTCTTTCCACCCAGCGGTGAACCTGGTAACCTTGAGATGAAATTTGACCCTGCAGTGACTATGAACAATAATGGTTAAATCATGTAAACAAAGCATAACATAGACTGGAAAAAAACTCTATATAACTCCCAACTTTGCTCTCATCTATAGTATGCACCACTCTCTTGGACTGCCTCTACCCACAATTCAAAAATTCTGAACGGGGTATAGTTACTGGATTGATAAAGCCACTGGCTTGGCTAAACGTCTACACAGTAAACAAATCCAGGTGTTTCACATTTGTTTTATTTATCTACTCGTCAGTTTTTCTAAACCATTGCTATAATAAAACAAAGTATATTCTCCTGTAAGGCAACTAATTTGTCGCTTCGGTCTGGCCTACTCGGCGCTGCTGTCACCTCAGCAAACCTTCATCACCAGACATTTGCAGGCGAACCTTCCTCTGTTTATGTACAAGACCAAAAAGTCTCGGTCCCAGACCTGATCCATTTTCACGGACGTTCCAAAAAAAAAAAAAACGGCCATTACACCACAGGACGGCCACCAATCGGCAGTTTCACTCTCAGACAATCCATCAACGATCATTCATTCCCCGATTACAACTCACTTAAAACATTAAGTACAGCAAATCAGTTAATCCACTGAAAGCTGCGCCCCACAACTGACTTTAGCTTCAATAATAAGCCTTTTCATGAACCTAATCAATTCAGTACTACTTTTTTTTGCCTTTTTTTTCAAGAAAAGATTGAATATTATTTATTATGAATGCCTTTCACTTGCTATTTTATTTTGAATGTACTTTTTCAGACGTATTTACCAAAAAAATCGCATTATATGCAGGAGATTTATAAGAGAGTTGACTGTATTTCCTATATTCATCAAGAATATAACATTGAACCAAACATTAAATATAATTGGAGTTTACCTGGAAGTAGGATAATGGGTATTTACTGGAATATTGGCAGGAACTTGCTCATTACCAGTCAAGAATACTGTAATCCCTTTTAAAAGAGTACTTAATTCCCTTTAAAAATGGATTAAAGTAATTCCTCTGCAAAGGGATTACCTCTCAGTGTATAATATACATTGAGTGGTGTATATACACTGTGTATACACGGAGAGATAAAGAAGAGGAAGTTAAATATGAGAAATGTCTCTGTTTATTACAGTGGTTAGAGGACATCCGGCCACAACAAAGCCGTGAGTACCTGACATTAGTATTGGAAGGTCGACCTTGTTGACACCCCTCTCTGTGTGCACGACGCAGGTGCACGCACCCGCCCTCAGTGTGCACGACGCAGGTGCACGCACCCGCCCTCAGTGTGCACGACGCAGGTGCACGCATGCGCCGTCAGTGTACAACGACAATACCGTGCATCGCCAGGAAAGCATTGAAATCAGCCCGTGGTATGAAGATAATAATAATAATAATAATAATAATAATAATAATAATAATAATAATAATAATAATAATAATAATATTATCTACAATTACATGATTCAACTTATACAGACCAAAGCTGACATTAATGACATATTACGATATAGAAAGCCCCTTGTTATGCAGAGCATTTAGGGCAAATTAGGTCAATTTTGTCCCCCAGGATGCGACCTCCACTAGTCGACTAACACTCAGGTACTTATTTTATTACTAGGGGAACAGGAATAGCAGATATCTTAAGAAAACACGCCCTAACGTTTTTACCCGTCCCGCCCAACCGACCTACGGGACATAACTTGATAAAAAATGCCGAAGGTGAAGTAAATATAATATGTAATTCGCTGGATATTGTTTTCTAAGACAGAATGTACGTATTTTTAATCCTGCATGTATCCTATTGACATACTCACACCGTGCTTATACCTGTAACAGGATACAAGTGTGTGGACGCTGCAGGCACTCTGTACGTTCAGCATGGTGGACAGTAGAGGGCAGTGTGGATTAACAGTGGTGGCAGTGGTGATGGTGACAGCAGTGATGGTGATGATGGCAGGTGTAGCAGATGCAGTTAGCGACGACATCCCTGACCCCTGTCAAAACATTTCCAGTCTGCCAGCCAGGAAAAGGAACATTTGCAATGGTCAGTACTCTGCCATCTGCTCCCTTCTCTCACCGACTAAGGAAACTAGCACCTGCCTGATAAGGGCAATCCTCTATTCTTATACCTTATACCTACTGTTTACGTTTCAGTTATATACGTAAATTCAGTAAATTCTAGAGAAAATTTAAAAATAAAGAAAGTGTGAGTTATTTGTGAACAGGAACGACATTTTCCCTTAAGTTAGAGTTTCGTTAAGTTCTTCCCCCTGAGAAAGACTTCGTTTCCCCTGAGAAAGACGTCGTTCCAATAAAAGGTAATATCTTCAAGGGAATGAAAGGAGGTTATCATGGGTAGGTAACTGGTTGCTGTACGCTGCTGAGGCGGGTCACCTGCACCGCGTCCATACTCTTCTTCATCTGCCTGAGAGATCCTACCTTATGGCCTACACTGACAGTCAAGGTAAACCTCCTGTCTCCTCTACTGTATCCTATCCTGTCTCCTTTCCCGTGTCTCCCATCCTGTCTCTTCTACTGCCTCTTATACTGTCTCATCTCTCGTGTCTCCTGTTCTGTCTCCTATCCTGTCTCCTATCCTGTCTCTTCTACTGTCTCCTGTCTCCTATACTGTCTCATCTCTCATGTCTCCTATTATCTCCTCTCCTGTCTCCTATTCTGGCTTCACCTGTCTCCTTACAAATGATATGAGTTTTATTACATAATAATAATAATAATAATAATAATAATAATAATAATAATAATAATAATGATAATAATAATTTTCATTATAATATTGTGGAATATATCAGTGCTCCAGATACTGATATATTTCACGATATTTAGATCGATGCAGACATTATTTTTTTTAACCACGCACAGGACTGCGTAAGGGGTTCACTGCTATGATGCTGGCGGCTGAGAAGAATCACACTGAGGTGGTGGAGGTTCTTGTGAATGCTGGTTCGGATGTCAACCACACCAGCAGAGCGAGTACGTCCTGGTCAAGATGTTTCTCCTTCTCCAACACCCTGACAAGACGTCTCTCCCTCTCCAACACCCGAACAAAACGTCTCTCCTTCTTCAACACCTGGACAAGACCCTTCTCTCTTTCTCTCTCTCTCCAACGCCTGTACAAGACGTCTCTCCTTCTCCAACACCTGGAAAAGACGTCTCTCCCTCTTCAACACCTGGACAACACGTCTTTCTCTCTCTCTCCAACACCTGGACAAGACCTCTCTATCTCTCTCTCTCCAACACCTGTACAAGACGTCTCTCCTCCAACGCCTGGAAAAGACGTCTTTCCCTCTCCAACACCTGTACAAGACGTCTCTCCTCCAACACCTGGACAAGACGTCTCTCCCTCTCCAACACCTGGACAACACGTCTCTCTCTCTCTCTCCAGCACCTGGACAAGACCTCTCTCTCTCCAACACTTGTACAAGACGTCTTTCCTTCTCCAACACCTGGACAAGACGTCTCTCTCTCTCTCTCTCTCTCTCTCTCCAGCAGGATTGGTAAATATCCAGTACCGACTATTGGCTAGAGATGACCTAACACCATCATTACATTCAATGGGGAAGCGCAATACGGGTCGTACAGTGCCTGGGGAATGTGAGGTCAGTACGGGTCGATGCAGTTGAATAAAAGTAGGTACGTCGTTGCTTTTATACACCAACAAGTATTTAAAGAACCACAGGGGGAGGGGTTTGAATAATGGATCAAGGCCTTTCGTGTTGCAACCAATACATCACCAGGTACTGATGATGTGTTAGTTGTGCTTTATTCCTGCAACACTGCAAGCGCTTGATGATGTGTTGATTGCAACACGAAAGGCCTAGGGCTATCATTTAACTCACCCCCCCCGTAGTTGTCTTGTATCTTTTATCGCTTGTTCGCGATTATTATACGAACAAATACGTTAATAACAAACAAAATGCCATTTTTGGCATTATATTGAAAGAACGTTTTGCCCACCGGGGACATAATTCTCACGAAATGATAAAATCTCTGGTGGGCAAAACGTCTTGTCAGCAAAATGTCACTAATTGCTGTCTGTCACAGAACTTGACAGACATCAAGGAACCGTCGTTACCTGCCTCCTATTATAACTAAGTGCTGTGTATCCCTCCAGTGTAAACATTGTAGTAAGTGCTGTGTATCCCTCCAGTGTAAACATTGTAGTAAGTGCTGTGTATCCCTCCAGTGTAAACGTTGTACTAAGTGCTGTATATCCCTCCAGTGTAAACGTTGTACTAAGTGCTGTATATCCCTCCAGTGTAAACGTTGCACTAAGTGCTGTGTATCCCTCCAGTGTAAACGTTGTACTAAGTGTTGTATATCCCTCCAGTGTACACGGTGGTATACCTACTGGCTGAGAAGGGAGCCTTGAAGACGCTGAAGCATGTACTGGACCTGGGAGCCGCACCTGACGTTATGACCACCACAGGTAGGCGCCTGACGTTGTGAAATATATATATATATATATATATATATATATATATATATATATATATATATATATATATATATATATATATATATATATATATATATATATATATATGTATGGAAAATCTGCTATGTTGTGTCGCAAGTGTATGTTGTTGAATTAACACTGTTCATGTTGACCTGTATGTTGAATGTTACTTCAGCCCTGGGGGGGGGGGAAGGAAGCCTCTCAGTGAAGACAAGACACCCTTTGCAGAGCACGTTTTGATTAGCACGACATTTTGTTTTGCATCGTGTTACTCGAGACACGCAGTGCGGTCAAGGAAGTGAATGAGGCACTTCCTCCACTGCCGACAGCATGAAATCACCTCTATATTCCACTGAGGAAGCCTGCCGAGAAGGCGAAGCGTTTGGACAAATAAACATACCCAATTGTTGCTCCTGTGCGCCGAGTCTGCAGTGTGTTTTCGCTTCGCTGTTTCTGTTTCTGTAACTTGCTCAGCTATCAAAACTTTGAGGCCCAGTCCCTGGACCCATTATGTACCTCTGTAATCTTTTGACTACCGCCCACAGGATAGGTATGGGGTGCATAATAAACATATTAAACTAACTAACTAACTGTTTCGGCAGTACATCGTTTAGTTTTAATTAAGACTTCCCAGTATTGTTTTCTTCTCACTGTGGTCTCGGTGGGCAGGTATGACGCCGCTACTGATCGGAACCTGGAACGGCTACCCTGACGTGGTCAAAATGCTGCTGGAGAAAGGTGCCAATCCTAATGTGGCAATGCCTGACACTCGTGAGTACCAGGGAATACCTGTTGAAATATGTCTCTGCCAGGTGCAGGTATCACTTCACTGTACGTGTAATATTTACATGGGAAAGTCAGATTGCAGAGGATTTGGGAGTCCACAACGAGGTTGTCTGCTGATAAGAGCTATCTAATTCTATCTAGATTAAGGGTTATTTTTTATTTTCTAGGTGTATGAGTCGAGGGTAGAAAATGAAAAGCCTTTATTTACATATATCAGTGAGACAGGGAGAGAGCATTGGTTTATTCTGCGTGTGAAGTTAACAGATATATATAGAACACGCCGTGACTAAGAGTCAAATATTTAGGCATATGTTATCCGCTGCTAACGTAATTTGTTTTCACGTAATGTTTACATTGGTGTCTGTGGTGATGGCGGTGCTCCTGGCGGTGCTCCTGGCGGTGCTGCTGTTGTTGCTGAGCAGTGTATTCACCACTGTACATGTCGTCCAAAGCTGGCGACGTGGACATGGTCAGAGCTCTGCTGGTCGCCAAGGCTGATGTTGACTTCCAGACGTCTTGGGGTACGCCAGAACAAGGCTTCCATGTAATTTTATAGTGTCATGTGATATGCGATGCCTAGTAGAATAATATGTGAATAGAATAACGTACTTTATAACACTTGAAATTTTATATATCTACGTTTTCTTTTATTTATAAACTTTTTCAAGTCGCTCATTTTATTGTTGATATTAGTTATAATTATTTTGTTATCTAATACCCATTCCTACTCGTGTAATTTAGATGACATTCATAAATGTATTTATTTATAATGCTGGCACAATGCCTGTCTTAATTAAGAGGGACGTAAGTTCCTCCGTCTTCTAATAACATTCATTTTTCCACTATAATCCACCTTGTCTATAATTATTATCACATTTGCTTTGTGCGCTTCGTAAGGTGAAGTCAAAGATCTGTAATTAATTCATGGTATAACTAAACAAATCTTCGATGACAATTGTGTTGCAGAGGTCTCAGACTTCTACAACACAATTGTCCTCAAAGATTTGTTTAGTTATACCATGAATTAAGGAAAGATCCTGGACTTCACCTTACGAATTATGAACAATGTAGATTATAGTGGAAAAATGTATGTGTTATTAGAAGACGGAGGAACTTACGTGCGTCTTAACTCCCTGTGTGTGTTGGTGTGTCTCAGGGGTGACTGCGCTGATCGTAGCAACTGTGTGGGGAAGAGTGAGGGTGGTACCAATACTACTGCAGGCACTAGCCAACCCTAACATAGTGGAGAAAGACGGTGAGTAGAATGAAGATGTAGAGTGGAGAGAGCCAGAAGAGCATGGTAGATGTAGATGATGATAAATGAGTTGTAATTCTAATGAATAATTATGTAAATGGTACATAACACCGACAAGTAAGACACAGCTGAAACAGTTGGGTATCTTTATTGTGGGAACAGTTTGCCTGTACAGTAGGCTTCTGCCTCCCCCCCCCCCTCTCTCTTTCCTCTGTAGTCGACTGAAGAAACCTACTGTGTAGGCGAAACGTTTCGACAGTGAAGATACTAAAGTGACGCACTTGTATTTTCCTCAATTCGAGTGTAGGCGTCATGTTA